CTGTTGCTGCTTCCTTTTTCATAATCTGTTGTCGTCGAGGTCGGTGCGCACGACGATCGATGACGATGCTGACCAGAACCAACGCCCCGCCGGTGAGGTCGAAAAACATGCAACCAGCGAAGACATACCAGAAGTATTACAAATTCGTTACGTTGGCCAAGAGACGTTCAACATGGTGACCACAGTGCCCCCCAGTGAAACACCCTGACGAGACACGAGCGTTCGTGGCTCGTTGGCTTTGGTTTCGACAGCGAGAGGGGCGCCGGACTCGACAGCGAGAGGCACGCCGGATTCGCCCGCGAGAGGGACGCCGGACATCTTGCTGACTTAAGAAGGCGCTACGTGGCTAGGGTCCTCGAGTCTCTTTGAGCCCTGGCAGCAGAAGAGCTCCTATTTCGAAAAAAAGGTGGGACGTCACTGCTTTCGACGCATCACCTCATGTCATCTTTTTGTTGTGGGGTGCCGCTGCAAGCGTCAGCAAAGGGACATCGCGGAAAATCAAAAAATATGCACTTTAACATGCACTCCGGAAAGGCTGGATCGAGGTTCTGCACAAGGGTGATATTGCACTGAACGAGATCTCAACACTTCACAATCACGACGATGGCAATGGAAGCTCTAGAAAATTCTGGGAAACTGGTCCAGACAACTGGCGGCCACCGAGAGGCAAACTGGCATGGAAGTCAGGGATTGCACTTCACCTAAACTGCTGGAAGCCGATTCAAGGCTATAGTCTTTTGAAGAGTGTGCCACCCCGACTTTGGAGCTGTAAGTGGTTACGGGTTTTCGATTTTCTAGGCCACCCCGGAACCCAAAACCTACGCCCCAACCACTGCAGTCGTCTCCTTGTGTGCCTCGGAAGTCGACACCAGCTCGTATATCTGGCGGAGCTTGCATGTTCGTCTTGTCTTGGACACTACAGCCACTGTCTGGTTTAGGGCTTAGGGCTGTCGGATTTTAGTATTCGAGTCTAAGCGCAAGGGGAGGGTGGGGCCGTAATTTAGGGCTCCTAACTAGTGCAGTAATGATACCACGCGGTGGTTGACAGTGATGGATCCAGATCCGGAGCTGAGGCGAGACGAATCAATATTCAATGCACCCAAGGCATTCAACCCTAAACTGAACCCTCAAACTCCGCATCGCAATGGCACCAGCCATTCCCAAAGAGGAGAACGACAGGCAAGTCAGGAAATGAGAAGGCTCTCTGGGCTTCAGGCTTCATGTCCAAGACGCAGTGAGCACACTTGTGAATCCGCAGGTGAAAAGCTGTAAACAGAAGTCGGCCGCCGAAACCCAAAACCTCCTCCACACGTGGCACATCATGACAACTTCAGGCTCAACTCAACTGAAACCCGGCCCAACAGCTTCTTAAAGCCGAAAACCTTCAATCCCCACACACTTAATTACGACCGAAGCCCCTAGAGCCTAAAGCCTTGACCCCTGATAATGGGGGCCTTAATAACTAGACTTTCGGGCCCATTTTACTATAGTTATAATA